TACAGTGACAAGGAACTGCCAGAGGTTCAAACCAGACTCATATGAGGACTTGGAATGATGCATATCACTGCTGATGTACAATGGATCTTGGCTGAAAGCAGACAGTATCAGAAAGAAGTGTAACTGTGCTTTATTGACTATGCAAAGGCTTTGGATTGTGGATCATGGCAAGATATGGATAACACTACAAAGAATGGTTATTGCAGAATACTTAATGGTGCTCATGAGGAACATGTGCATAGATGAAGGGACAGTTTTTTACACAGAATTAGGGGACTCTGAATTGTTTAACATCAGGAAAGATGTGTGTCAGGGTTGTATTCTTTCACCATACTCATTCATTCTATCCGCTGAGCAAATAATCTGAGAAACTGGATTATATGAAGAAGAACATGGCATCAGGATTGGAGGAAGACTCATTAACAATTTGTGATGTACAGATGATACAACTCTGCTTGCTGAAAATGAAAATTAATATTAAAGACCACAACCTTCAGTATGTGTTTCACCACAATTTAAAAAAAAAAAAAAAAAATTCCTTACCACCATGCTAATAAATAACATCATGTTAAATGGAGAAAATATTTAAGTTGTCAAAAACTTCATTTAGCTTGGATTCTGTGTCAGCACTCATGGAAGCAGCTGTCAAAAAATCAAACCACATATTGAAGAGGCAAATCTACTATACAAGAACCTGTGTTCAAGAGCAAAGGTGTGCCTGCCCCTAGCAATGGTATTTTCCATAGTCTCATATGCATGTGCAAATTGGACAGTGACTAAGTAAAACTATAGAATAATTAATACATTTGAGTTATGTTGTTGGAGAATAATAAAAGTACCATGGACTGCTAGAAGAACAAGCAATTCTATGTTGGAAGAGGTGCTCGTTAGAAGCCAGGATGGTGAGACTTTGAGTATCATGCATAGAACATATTATCACAAGGGGCCAGTCCCTGTAGACGAACATTATATTTGGTGAAGTAGAAGGTCTGGGCTCAAGTGTCACAGTGATTGTGAAGATAGTACAGGATTGGGCATTGCATAGGGTTGCTATGAGTTGTGCATAGGGTTGCTATGCTATAAGCCATAACTGCATCGACAGCACCTAACAACAGCCATCTTTAGTGATACATGAATTCTCCATCTGTATGAGACTGCCCAATATGATATTTATCTTTCAACCTTTTGGCTTCTCCTTTCTGGTTTGTTTGTTTTGTTGTTGTTAAGTGTCTCAGTCAGTTAGGACACATAGTAAACTGGTATAGGAATTTTGAAAATCGCCTGGTGGGTTTGAACTGCCAACCTTGAGGTTAGCAATTAATCATTTTCTTTCTATCAGTTATCTAGTTTAATCAGTTTGGCTCATACCCCAAGCCATTCTAATAACTAAGATGTTGTTGTTGTTGTTATGTGCTGTGGAGTCAGTTCCAACTCATAGCGACTCTGTACAGGCTTTCTGAGGCTGTAAATCTTTACGGGAGCAGAAAGCCTCATCTTTCTCCCGCAGAACAGCTGGTAGTTTCGAACTGCTGTCACTGAGGTTAGCAGACCGATTCGTAACCACTATGCTACCAGAGCTCCTTAATAACTAAGATAGGGATCAAGAATGTGGTTCAGTAACTCTTAGTAATAAGAGTTAGGACAAGAACATGATTATAGTTGTTAGGTGCCATTGAGTGGATTCTGACTCATAGCAACCCTACATACAACAGAACAAAACACTGCCATCCTCACAATCTCTGATAAACTTGACCCATAGCTGTTGCCGCTGTACCAAGCATCTCATGATGGCTCTTCCTCATTTGCACTGACTCTCCACTTTACCTAGCATGATGTCCTTCTGTAGGGACTGTCCCTCCTGACAATATGTCTGAAGTATAAGAGATGAAGTCTTGCCATTCTGGCTTCCAAGGAGTATTCTGATTATATTTCTTCCTACACAGATTTTTTGTTCTTTTAGCACTCCATGGTACTTTTAGTATTCTCCTCCAACACTATAATTTAAATGAATCAATTCTTCTACGGTCTTCCTTATTCACTGTCCAACTTTCACATACATTTTAAGCCATTGATAAAAACCATGGTTTGGGTCAGGTACACTTTAGACCTTAAACTGACTTCTTTGTTCTTGAACACTTTAAAGAAGTCTTGTGCAGCAGATTAGCCTAATGCAATACATCTTTTGATTTTTTGACCATTCCTTCCATGAGTGTTGATGGTGGATCTAAGCAAAATGAAGTCTTTGACAACTTCAACTGTTTCTGCATTTATCATAATGTTATTTATTGTTCCAGTGATGTGGATTTTATTGTCTTTATGTTGAGGTGCAACCCATACCAAAGGTTGTGGGTTTTTTGTTTTGTTTTGTTTTTGTTGTTGTTTTGAAATGACAGAATATTACTGTTGGATTTTGAAGTTAAAGCTACTAGGGTAGTACTAGGTAAAACACTAAGTGTCCTGAAGTCTGACAGGCAAGAATGACAGACTTTTTATGTTGGAACACCATGTTAAGTGACAAGTAAACTTTTTAATGTCAGTCAATCTATCATCTGTCACAAGTAAACTTCAACCCAACAAATCTTTTCAGGGAACATTCTTTTCATTCCCTTCTTGGGACATCTTTATCATTTGTTTAACCATCAAGGATAACTCTGCCATACTCCAGCCATATAAGCATGCTTTCAGAGAATAAAACGTTTTTATCAGAGTCTTAGTCAGTATAAGGAAATGGGATATAGAGGAGAGAGAGTTTGTGTTCACACCCACCAGTCTTTCGGTCACACCAGGGGCCCCGTTTGAGTGCCTTTTCACAGTGGCACGGTGGTGGTTGAGTTGTCGAGTTGGGACTTACAGCAACCCTGTATAGGGTTTCCAAGACTGTAAATCTTTTCAGGAGCGAAAAGCCTTATCTTTCTTCTGTGGAGCGGTTGGTAGTTTCAAACTGTGGATCTTGAGGTTAGGAGCCCGACTTGTAACCACTACGCTATTCATTGAGATGAAACAAAGTATATGATTTGTTGAATGGAAACCTTATGATCCTGTCTGGTAACCATCACTTAATTCATTCTATCTAATAAAAAGTTAAACAATGACTTGCATAACCAGCCCTGGTGGTATAGCGGGTTAAGCATTGTGCTGCTGGTTCCAAGGTCAGTGGTTCAAACCCACCAGCTGCTCCGTGGGAGAAAGATGAGGCTGTCTGCTTCTGTAAAATGTACAGTCCTGGGAATCCTCACAGTTTCTGTCCTACAGGGCTTCTAATGAGTTGGAATCAATTCAATTGGTGAGTTTGGTTTTGGCTAGAAAGACTTGAATTCAGACCTGATGGGCTAAAACTAGCTTTCCCTCCGTTATGAGAGGTGGCTTCTAAAATTTTGAGTAAAACTGTCAGTCTCTCTTAATTCCAGTTTTCCATGAACGTTTGGAAGTTCTCTTGTATATTCTGTTTTCCAGCCCAAGTCCAAATGCAGCCTCCGTGAAACAAAGGTAAAAGCGATCTTGGGTTTAGCTGTACTGGATGTGGCCAGACAGAAACAGCAGAGATGGTACGGAGGGGAGCGCTGGTGAGCCGTCGAATTGGTTCCGACACACAGTGACCTTATATAGGGTTCCTCAGGCTGTACATCTTTACTGGAGCTGAAAGCTCCCCAGGAGCGTTTGGTGGTCTTGAACTGCTGACCTTGCATTTAGCAGCCCAACACATAATTCACTGCACCACTAGGGCTCCTTAAGAGGGGAGTTGTTGTTGCTAAGTGCTGTCGGATGGATTCCGACTCACAGTGACCCTGTACAGGGTCTCCAAAGAGTAGCAGGTAGGTTGGAACCACCAACCTTGTGGTTAGCAGTCCAGTGCTTGTCCTATAGTGCCACACCAGAGTCCATTATAGTCTCCCGGTCAACAAATCTAAGACTATAGAACATTTATATTTTATTTTCCTTTTGGTAAGGGGAATCCATTTTCCCAAGGAAATAATTTCCTTTTGAATTTTCCACGGAAATAACAATACAAAAATTCTCCACACCACTCTAAAGCCGAAGGGCCTACATCTGTCTTTGCTTGTGCCTCGGGTTGGTTTTACAATAAGTGTACCACCGGCCTTGCCTCTTCACACCGTAGCAATCCTTACAGCATTTCTTGATAACGCCCTTGGTTTTAAAGCTGCAGCAGACACGGAGTGAGAGGGTTTGGAAGAAGAGGCTGGACCTCAGGAAACTGGTGCCCGCGGGAAGCACCGCCCTCCGGAGGGGTCCTACCAGGAAGGTGGGAAGTCCTCGGGATTTCAGGGTGCAGACACTCAGCTAGAGGAGCATGTGCCACCATCCTTAGCAAGTGACTTGTCATGTTGTGGCTAAACCCGAAAAGCACACGTCCTAGCCCAGCCCAAGGCTATGTTTTTTTTGTTTTTTTTTTTATCTTTATCAGTAAGTATTTGAAGTCCTCTTCATATTCAGCAAGCAAGGTTGTATCATCTGCATATCACAGGTTGCTAATGAGTCTTCCTCCAATTCTTCTTATGCCGTGTTCTTCTTAATATAATACAGCTTCTAGGATTATTTGCTCAGCACACAGATTGAATAACTGTGGCACACACCTTTCCTGATCTTAAACCATCCAGTGCCCTCTTGTTCTGTTTGAATGACTGCCTCTTGGGTCAATGTACAGATTCCTCAGGAGCACAGCTAAATTTTCTGTAATATTCATTCTCCACAATGAGGTCCATAGTTTGCCATGACCCACACAGTCAAATGCCTTTGCATTTTCAATTATAAACACAGGTAAACATCTTTCTGGTCTTCTCTGCTTTTAGCCAAGACTCATCTGATGTAAGGAATGATATCCTTAATTCCATTGTAATTAATTCAATGTAATGCTGCAACCATTTTTTAGTTATCTTGAGCAAAAATTTACTTGCATTTACATTAATGATTTTGTCCAGTTATTTCTGCTTTCTGTTGGATTAACTATCTTTGGAATGGGCACAAATATGGATCTCTTCCAATGAATTGGCCCAGTAGCTATCTTCCACATTTCTTGGCATAGTTGAGTGCCTCCAGTGCTGTATTAGTTTGTTGAAAGATTTCAATATGTATTCCATCAGTTCCCAGAGTCTTGTTCTTTGCCAGTGCCTCAGTGCATCTTGGACTTCTTCCTCCAGTCATTGACTATCATGTGCTATCTCTTGAATCAGGTGAACATTGACCATTTCTTTTTGGTACAGTGACTCTGTGTACTCTTTCCATGTTCTTTTAATGCTTTCTGCATCATTCAATACTTTGCACAAATCCTTCATTATTTCAAATCAAGGCTTGAATTTTTCCCTCATTTGTTTTAGCTTGAGTAATGCTGAGTGTTTTCTTTGCTTTCAGTTCTCTAGCTCCATATTTTTGCATATTTCATTATAATATTTGACTTTTTCTTATCAACTTGCCCTTTGTAATTTTCTCTTCAGCTCTTTTATGTCTTCATATCTTCCATGATAATAGTAGAATACACTTATTGAAGGTGTTCCAGAAATAAGACTGTTGAAAATAGAGTTGTTAATGAGGATACCTCCTTACAGCCATCATATACTCACCTCTTAATATTTACTATAAAAGCACACCTTTATTTCTGTGCTTCAGAGTCCTTGGTAGATTTCTCTCTGCCCTGTGTTTCCACAATTCTCAAATTATATTATCTCAATGAATCTTTTTGTCTTTACTACAACACAGAAAACATTCATATCTTCAAGAGTGGAAATAACCACTGATGACAATATTCATCGTATATGTTCTGTTTTGTGCCTTGGAATGATCCTTCCCCGCAGACTCAAAAGGAAAAAAAGATCACTGCTAAGAGACTGATTGCATCAGGATAGTATAATGAGAACTTAGTTAATACTTACCACTTAGCTTCAAAGAGGGTCTACATTTATGTAACTGCAATGCTACATTAAAGACTTATCTGAATTAATCTGTAATATTGAAAAATGCCCAGAAACTTATCATTATTGTGACATCACAATAAAGGAGATTGATATATTCAGAATTCAGAATGTTTTCTGGGAGAGCTGGTGAAAAGCTTTTAATGAAAAGTTAGATGTAATTTCCAATGATAAGGTCAATCTGTGTATTTAGAAAATAGTTATAAATCAGCTTTTTAAATTTGATGTTATTTTAGGCAGCAAAATAGAAATAAAACTTTCTCCAAATTAAGAAGCGCTGAGATTTTAAAAGTCTCTTAAGAATATGAAACCCAATGCCATCTAGTTGATTTTGACTCATGGCCCGATAGGACAGGATAGAGCTGTCCCATTGGGGTTTCCAAAGATGTACTCTTTATGGAAAGATGAGGCTTTTGCTCCTGTTAAGATTTACAGCCTTGAAAACCACATACAGCATCATTATGAGTCTGAACCTACTGGATGGTACACCACCACCATCAGTCTTTATGAAAGTACTCTGCCACATCTTTCTAGTTTGGAGCTGTTGCTTTGTTCAAACCACTGAGCTTTTGGTTAGCAATTGAATATTTAACCACTGTAGTACCAGGGATCCTTCAAGAATATGAAAAAAAAAATGCATTCATTAAAATAATTATTATAATATGCATTCCCCAGATTTCAAACTTCCAATTTAAGGAAAACTCTTACTTGCTCTTTAATTTAGGACTTCAAACAGGTTCTGTCATAACTGACAAAAAAAGAGAAACAGAATAAAATTTTTACAATTTGTAACTGGAACAGGAAGCCCTGAAATATGATTTGAAGGAGGCATATGAGCCCTTTTCGAAGCCTGATGCATGAGACTGGATTGTTGGCATGACTGGAGAACCATACAGAATCAAAGCAGCATATTGGCTCTCATTTTTTTTTTAGCAGATCATTGCAATCTGTTAACCCTTGCTTTAATGTTATAAAGTTTCCCTCACTTAGACACTATTGAACCAACCTCTGCTTATAACAAATTCATTACAATCATCTTGCAGCACATGAACTTTTAAATAATTGCAAAGGCTTTGAACTTTTCTTGTACTAAAATCAATACAAACCAAAGCAATTGCCACTGAGCCAACTCTGACTCACAGTGACCCTATACAAAGATTCCAGTAAGGAGTTTTTTTGGTATAAAATAACTTTTATTTACATAATTTATATCTATAGTACATAACTACTTTATTTGAAATGAGAAAATTTACCAAGGACAGATAATGCTTCATTGTCAAAGACTTCAAGCAAGATACTATACATGTTACTATCTGAAATATGGTGCTCAACAGTGGATTTAATAGTCTTATCTGTGCCTCCATCGTTTATCAACAATCATGTTTTTAATTGCTGATCTTCTGCTGTGACTGAAATTGTTCAGAAAGAAAAGTCAAGGAAAAATAAAGATCTTTGATCATATCTCCTTTCTGATTTATAAAATACAAATTATCTGCAACATCTTCTTTATATAAATTAGACAGCATAGGTGTGAACAGTCTTTCTACCATGTAACTAACAGTCTTTCTAACATGAAACTAAGTTTCATGTTTTCCCTAAGATTAGTTTTAGGAATATAAGACTGTAATTTAACTGACTGACTTGGTTTTCTAACATAATGTCCAAAATCTTTTATATAGTAAGAAATTACATTTCCCACAAAATTTATTATAGATGAACAAATAACAACTATTAACAAAGTTAAAAAATAAATATCATACAAGGGATAAAATAATAGTTTAATTGTGGCAATCTAATATTCAAACTATATATGAAGTGATTCAAACTGGCATCTTGGTGTGGCACTGTAGGATAAACACTGGACTGGAAGGTCATTTGGATCACAGGTCATTTGACCTGCAAGGTCATGGTTCAAACTCACCAGTCACTCCTTGATAATCCTATACAGGGTTACTGTGAGTTGGAGTTAACTAGAAGGCACCTAACAACAAAAGCAACAATATTCAAACTAATACTAATTAAGAAAAAACGAACCTTTTCAATATGAGGTTTTGGGCTTTTTAAAATAACAATAACAGAATATTTAAATAGCAATGTGACTTAAAACACCATGATTTTATAGGCCATACTAATCATATGAAATAAATGATTATCTGTAGAGAACTTGTGTGGTGCTGGATGATAAGCACTAGACTGCAAATGGCAAGGTCTATGCTTTAAACTCACAAGACACTCCATGGAAATCCTATACAGGGTCACCATGAGTGAAAGCCAAATTGTCAGCATTTAACAAAAACAAAAACTCTGTGTATTCCTTTCATCTTCTCTTGATGCTTTCATCATTCAATAATTTGCCCAGAGAATCTTTCAATAATGACAGTCAAGGCTTGAATTTTTTCTTCGTTTTCCCCTGCTTGAGAAATGCTGAGCGTGTTCTTCCTTTTTGGATTCTGATTCCAGATCTTTTGCATATTTTGTTGTAATATTTGGCTTTATCTTCACCAGCTGATCTTTGTAATTTTCTGTTCAGCTCTAGGTCCTCCTCATTTCCTGATTTGCTTTAGCATCTCTACACTGGAAAGCAAGTTTCAGCATCTCTTCTGACATCCATTTTGATCTTTTTCTTCCTTCTTGTCATCTTAATGACTTTTTGCTTTCTTCATGTATGATGTTCTTGATGTCATCCCACAACTCTTGTGGTCTTCGGTCTTTAGTGTTTAATGTATCAAATCTGTTCTTCAGATGATTTCTAAATTCAGGTGGGATATATTCAAGGTCATATTTTGGCTCTTGTGGGCTTGTTTTCATTTTCTTCTGCTTCAGTTTGAATTTGCATATGAGTAATTGATGGTTTGTTCCACAGTCTGCCCCTGGCCTTGTTTTCACTGATGATATAGAGCTTTTCCATCATTTCTTTTCACAGATGTAGTCAATTTGATTTCTATGTATTCCATCTGGTGAGTTCCATGTTTATAGTCATCTCTTATGCTGTCTAATGAAGGTACTTGCAATGAATAAATCATTGATTTTGCAGAATTCTCCATCATCATTTCTATCACCAAGGCCATATTTTCCAGCTACTGATCTTTCCTCTTTGTTCCCAACCTTTGTATTCCAATCACCAGAAATGAGCAATATATCTTGATTGCATGTTTGATCGATTTCAGATTGAAGAAGTTGGTAGAATTCTTCTATTTTATCCTCACTGGCTTTAGTGGTTGGTGCATAAATCATTTGAAGGCAAGAATCCTCTCTTGTAGGGCCATTGTACTTCCTTGATGAGTTATGACATAGGGCAAAGCAATTTGTTCTGGTCTAGGTCAATT